TATCGATTGAGGTGTATGAAGAACGCTAGAGCTGTAATAACGGCAAATGAGTGGTCCGCGACAGCCGCGTGCGGCGAATCGATCACCCAAAATCGTTCCTAACGCCCGTCTCCCATTACTGATGGTACCGCCAGAAAAGAAGAAAAATTTCTTATAACTTATGCGCAGGTTCTCATTGAAGAAGGATGTTGGACGAAACCTAATTTCTCCTCAAAGGTTGACTCGCCCATCTCAAGCTCAGGAGAGCTGGTAGAAATATTCGCGGGCGAAGGGAGGGACGAATGCACCAATTCGCGCTAGTTTGCTGTTACTTTAATTCTTGGATACATCAGAGCTGAAGCAAATAGCAAATAGTGGTGGTCCAAACTGATATCGACATATTGGTTTGTGAATGACGTAAACAAGCAGTTTTGCTGGAATCGTTCAGGGCAAGGGAGAGAGGAGGGTAGGGGTGGGGGGAAGGGTAAAATTGCAGCTTGAGCTTGCATTAAATAACTACACATTTCCGGGATGCCAAATTTGGGCCAAAAGGTGCGAGCAACCATTTTTCAGACTCCGCAGTTTGTCAACGTTAAATCAAACTCGGAAAAGTGCCTTTTTGTATTTTAATATTCCGTTGATATCTTTTAAAAAAGGCAAGGCTTCCAATGTGGCAAACGCGGCGAAGTACGGTAGATATGGATAGACGTAATACTAAAGGAGAAGGAGTTTGTTCCGCCCAGAGTTGGTAGTGTCCATCTGTAGAAGATTTTCGGTTCCTGTGATTTTGAACGCGCCCCTACTAGGAGCAGAAGTTCATAAACACTTTGTCCTCTGACTTGCAAGATGCAACTTACGAAGGCTCCGATATTGAGTGCGAAGAAGACCGTGTGATTGAGAACGAGGAGGTCGATCCACTGTAAGAACCTGACGATGAAGAGGAAACAGCAAGCCCATCTACAGGGTCGTTGATGCTTGGTAATGTGGAAGTTTCGACGAAGTTACTGTCACTTGTGTACTTTCAGTTCTGTGCTCCTAGGTTTAAGAAGAGATAAGTGATTGTGAAGAAACAGCCTGGGGTGGAATCTTTTTCATTCGCTGCTCTCACTGTGAAAAATTCCTTTGTTCTAAACTTTCCGTGCTAGATTATCACATCTGCTTATAATGGTTGAAAGTTATCCCACTGTGAATTTGAAATGTACAAGAATAGAGTTGCTGTCATGTTGGTTGTTGGAGTAGATGTCAGAGGATTCAAGCAGGAAGTGACTCACCTCGAGCATTCAAAAAGTCGCCGAAGGTGGTAAAACTAGTATGAAAAGATTATCACAACCTGGAGGAAAGTGATTATATGCACTCAAGCTCACCTCCCTTATTGAACAGTTCTTCGGTATAAGTCGTCTATCTCTATTTTCATGCGAGCAGGGTATGGATAACAGGGTGTTGTAATAGGCAAGCAAACATGATTGTTCAACACTATTGTTATGGCAGCCATGACCACGATTAGTCATATCATCACTCATCTCATAAATCCCATGTACTTCAATTGCGCGCATGCAGGGAGTACCTCGGCGTCAGGTGACGTTACTCATCACGGAGAGGTCACCCGAAGGGAGCGGATGACCTATTTAATAAATCTGATTTTGAAAAAGTTGAGAACTTAATCTCTCCACAGAGGGAGCTTGATTTAGAATGAATTTCAAAAAACGTCAGACCCACTTTTGACATTTGCTACTGTAATGAAGCTGGGGTGTTGTATACGTACCCTGGTGGTAATAGATAGAACCAATGCATCTATGATACGTTGATCATCCTTCATTCATTTTCACTCCTCCATTTTCTGTCGGAAAAAGTTTTTTACCGAACTACTGATCTTTGAATCATCTTGATTTCTAACGACTTTCTATTTTGTTCAGACTCGAATAGCTGCGCTGCGGAAAATGGAGGCTGTGACCACATATGCGAAGAAAAACACGGTCGCTTCTTCAGATGTAAATGCAAGCATGGTTATCGCCTCGGAGTAGACAAGAAGAAATGCCATCGTGAGTGCTATTGATGTGATTTCAGTGAAATGAACAAGCAGTGAACATCATTCAAAAAAGAAATGGGAAAAGTCAGGACGAAGCAGGAACCGCTAAAGGCTTTCGGAATCCACAGCAAAGATATTACCATAGAGCACAGCGGATCTGAAAGAATGTTGGCCTATGAATTCCAGAAAGTAGTTGTGATCTGCACAGATTCATGCTTAACTTCCGTCATGTGCCAGAGTTTCCGCTGAAGTAATTAGATTTGCAGAAACGTTCAATCAGAGCGGCTTTGTCAGTTCTAAGACCACTGCTTGGTGAATTTCTCTTTCGAAAGCAATTGCAGGTTGAAAAGAATTCATTGATAAGGCGAATTACTCTCCTGGCTAGATAATTGTATTTTGCTCTGCACTTTCACTCATCGCTGACCCTTAAAGGCTTCTTTTTTGTTGAGCTACGATGTTGGTTTTTGAACGGCGGTTTTCCACCAACACCCTGTGTCTTTGGAAATTTTGCAATCCAAAATGCCGCTTATATATAGTTTTTATTGACAGGGCGAAAAGCTAGAAAAAGGTGACGAGACAAACACCATTCGCTATTTGATTGTTTTTAAAACTTGTTCTGGATGAGCTTCTCATGTTGTGATGGATGTTGTATCTCAAAAAATTTTTGAGATACAACAACTCCAATTTTTCCCGAACAAAATTCTAGTCTTTTGATTAACCTGATGGTCTTTTTTGTGCCGATTTGGGACCACCATTTGTTCTATTATGAGCTCTCGAGCATATGTCATGTTCTCTACCGTAATTAGCAACGCTTATGAATGCAAATCACCGTGGCACTAAACAATAGATATTCCCAATGTTGAGGGAGTAACCTGAGGTTCAACAAGGTTGACATCCTCTTAATAACAGGGAACGAAGTGCTTTTGCAGTTTTCTAATAGGATCATTCCACAGGTAATGGGAGTATGTACGTGTACGTGTAAAGTGAAATCTGTTTGGAAAAAACTGAAAGTATCAAACACTAAAATTATACTGAGATGCTTTTACCTTTCACAACCAACAGTCAACGCTGTTTGAACGGATGCTCTGCGGGAAACTTTGTCTTGCACTTCGTCTTCAGAAGCCTGTTTTACTTCAAAGGGAGATTTTCAGAGTAGAATGTGTAGTAATAGGCTTCCCGAAGAAATTGCGTTAAATTAATTATTTTACCTAAATTGGAAGAAATTTCCGATTCCACGGCCGAAGGTACATTTCTTGTCCTCCCATCGCATTTCATAAGGTTCAATACACGAAGCTTCATCGAATCGGTAGAAGTCATAGTGCCGCTGTAGTTCTCTTCGAGCTCAGCACAATCAGAGTAAGCAATTCAACTAGAGTTATCGCTGCTCAGACCTCTCTATTTAGCTATCGATCCGTGCTTGGAAAACAAAGGTGGATGTCAGCATCACTGTGTGAATGAAAACGGACGGGCACAGTGTCAATGCTTTGCTGGTCATCGTCTGGCTTATGATAGAAAGACATGCGTCGGTAAGACGAATTCCTATTTCCAAAAGCTCACCGAAAATCGGACGCTTCACTGACTATTCCGTGCCGCGTTATATAAAATGCAACAACCAGCTGAATAGTTTGATTAGAACTAGGGGATCAGAAGGTTGTAAGCAAAACGGTAAACGTTGCAACAAGTTGGCACCCATCTGTCCTTATCAAAACGCATCACGACGAATTGGTTGCTCATGCAAGGCAAGACAATATTTATAAAAAGAAAGTCAAATTTTTACTTTTAATGCCATGTTCGATCTCAATGAACCTCGGCATAGTTCCAATACAGCTTTATTCTATCAAACAGATTACGAGGTTGAGAAATACAAATAAGTCGGCTGACGTTTCGGCGATTTTCGCCTTCTTCGGAGCCTAAAAAAGGAGGAAACCAAATTATGATTTATTCGACCAAAT